GTCACATTGTAAACCTTAGGAAAAAAATGTATGAAGTAGCTGAGAATGGTACCCGGGCCTCACTGTTATCATAGAAGGGAATTTATGCCACTTAATAATTCTGCTTTCACGGTCGGTCAGTGTGATGTTTAAATAATTCTGCTCTCACAGTCAGTGTGATGTTTACACACACACACACACACACACACACACGTGTGTGTGTGTATGGGTGCATATGCTGTGCCTCATTTCAGGTTCCAGGGAATGTATGTGCAGAGGCACACGCTAAATGTTCATGTTTCCTGAAAAGTACCCAGAAAGGAAAAGTGGTCCTTTCTATTGGATGGCCAATGTTCTGTTTTGTCAAGGACTTCAAAGTTTCTTGGGAGATGGCACTTCTCACACCCAAACTGGGAAAGTTCTGGAATGAATTGGTCACTCCAAAACTGGCCAAGTCCTTACATTTCCAGATGCAAATGACAGAAAGAAGCTATAACACTGGAGTGAGGAGCGCCCACATGACAAAGTCCAGGGGTATCTTGAGCTGGAAAGTAGTAACTATTATCTTTATCCAAACATGAGCAAGAAGAGGCAGATGTGAACCCCTAGGCCGAACATAGACCTCATAGGCCAGCATGAGATTGCACTTCCTTCCCAAGGAGCCTCTCCCAGTCCTGGCTGCCTGTGACACTCACCCAGGGAGCTATGAAAGGATTCCCAATGCCTGGATGACAGGCCCTACAGGGTCCTGAATGTGGGTGTTTGTAAAAGTTTTCCAGTAACTGTAACTTGCCATCCAGGCTTGGGAACTACTAGCCTGAGCTAGAGTTCAGTTATAGTCTTGACAGCCGTGCTGTGCCAAATTCAAGTGCAGGATGCCCTGGATCTTGCAACTGTTCCAGGTGTGAGTGCAGGATGCCCTGGATTTCTTAACTGACAGATTCAGGACTCCTGAGATTTAGTTGCACTGATTTGACCTGGTAGCAATATATATGTGTGATGTTTTATTGATTTGCTCATTTCAAGAAATTCCTTCTACTTTTCCTTGATTGCTCTCTTTTATTTATTTGTTTTTTCTTGCCTGCTCTTCTCTCTGGTGAGTACAGTATGTGATTGGTGACTGTTGACCCTAAGGAACTGATGATGACGATGACAATAATGATGGTGATGATGATGACGGTGTGTGCATGTATAATGTGTGAGCATGTGTGTGGAGGTCAAAAGACAACTTCTGGACATTGGTTCTCTCCTTCCACTGTGGGTTCTTGGGATCACATTCAGGTCACCAGGCGGTAGATACTTTTACCCACTAAGACATCACATTAGGCCCAAGGAATGTGGTTTTGAAGCTTGAAAATGTTCCAGTTCTGGTTTGAGTGGAGAGGGACCAGTGATATTTCTCACAAGAAAATAGAAACCTTTTTGTGCTGCCTTTATTGTAGTCTAGGGGCAAAGAACTGTGCCCCATCCAGCCCTGTGGGCTCTGGCCCGATGGCTGTGGTGCAGGCTGGACAGATGAAGGTGAGGTGGGCTTGGGTCAGGCTGACTTGGATTGAGGAGAGAAAGCTGAATGGTTCTTCTAGACTTTTGAAACTGGGGCTAAATTCTCCTTGCTTTGTCCCAGCTGGATGGCAGGCTTTGGCTGCATGGTCAGCCAGAAGCTAGAGGACCCACATTTCAAGAACTGTACTGGTGTTACTCAGTACCCCAGAGGGGAGACCCCCACCAGCCATGAAAGACACAGACAAGCATATCACAGAGTGAAAGAAGTCCACCTCAAAAGGCTTCATACTGGCTGAATCCAACCATGCAGCATTCTAGAACACACGCGTTCCACATCTAAATATCTGTGTATCATTGACAAATCTAAAAATGAAGTTTTATCTTGAAAGTAATATGCACATGCTTATTGTAGAAATAAAACAGGAGGCAGAAAAGAAAAGCAGCCAGAGTCCTGCCATTTCAGAGCTAGGTAACCACTGTTAGTAGATCTGTTACCTCCCTGATAGGGCATTGGAGTTCACTTGCAGTAAAGATGTGTTAAAGGACTCCACCCCATCCAATGGCAACATCTAAATACTTGTAGCATCATTTGTCATCTTTCTCACTTCCTCAGTGAACTAGAAAGCACAGCTCACTTCACTTGATCATCAGCCCCTTATGATTCTTGGCAAATGTTACCCCTGTTGGCAAAGATATCCAGGCCAGCTCACAATTTACTATGTGTTATCTATAGATGACCCATGGTGGGTTTTATTCATCTAAAAGAACTCTGGTCTCCATGCCACTAAATTCTGACATCTCTCTTAAGGACTTAACAGCATCTAATGGTTCTATCTCTGGTAATGTGATCCAGCTGGAGAGCCAAGGTATGCAAAGCCCTTGTTTTAGACAAAGGGGTATTTTTTCCTCCAGCCAGTAAGTAAAAGTGACTTTTTTTCCTCAGCTATAAAAGGACAAGAGGGTTTGAGATGATTGCACTGGGCAGGGTTTCCTAGGCTTGTTATTTTGGCAGTGGGCCATATTGCTATGCCTGAGTCGTCCAAATTTCTTCCATTTCTTGTAGCAGCATGAAGAGCTCACTGGCTGGGATAAATTTCTTTATGGCGTGATGATTAATGCCCAGGGTTATCTTAACCCAGAGCCAACCACAGTGGGATATCCTACGGTGTCATTGGCAGACCATCGAATCACCGTGTGTTAAGAACTAAAGACTCTTTCCTATTAATTTAAGTTACTTCGCTGCCCTTTCTGGTTACATGTTTTTCTCCTTAAGAGAAAATATTTAACATTTAGTACTATATGCAGAATAATGATGGTAAACAGCCTGCAGTTCCAGCCTTAGTCCTTGTAGATGTTTGCCTTGTCCCATTTTCAAGGTTTTAAGAGCTCCACGTCATGAGTCTGCTATGTTGATTTGCTATGTCTATTTCATCACCTTAAAACCAAGAGTGAGCTTGTCCATTCTCACTGCCTGATTGCAATAGGAAATGGTCCACTTCCGGACCCAGTCTCATTTCCTAAGATGGTTCTATTGCTAAAGGAAGGAGAAAGAGTAGGAGTAGGAGGAAGAGGAGGAGGAGGAGGAGAAGAAGGAAGAAGAAAGTGGCTTATGTTATGACAGAATGATTTGTGTGACCTTTCAGTCAGTCACTTCTAAATAATTATGGATATTTAGTTGATTAATCCCTGAAGAAGCCACAGGGTAGAGGCTGTTAATATTCTTATAGTATAAACAAATATAGCAAACAGAAGTAGATGGTTAAGACAGGATCTGAACACACAAAATTGGTCACTAGAATGTGCCTCCCTTTGCTGCCTTTTAAAGGACATGGCCTTATTATGTTACCCAGGCTGACTTTGAACTTCTACCACTGCCTCACCTTATTGAGCAGCTAGAAATATAGGGAAGCATCACCATTGTAGTGCCTGTTTGAACTTAATTCAATTGTTACAGGATCACAAGATTGGTAATAGTATCATTGTATTACAGATGAGAAATTGAGGCTTGCAAGGGTTAGCAACTTTGTTGTTATTGTTTGTTTGTTTTTGTTTTTTGAGACAGGGTTTCTCTGTGTAGCCCTGGCCATCCTGGAACTCACTCTGTAGACCAGGCTGGCCTCAAACTCAGAGATTCATTTGCTTCTGCCTCCCGAGTGCTGAGATTAAAGGCATTCACCACCACTGCCCAACATGGGCTAGTAAATTCTCAATGATGTTTCACACCTGGCAAGTGGCAGAGGTTTGTTGGGCTCCTCATTCCAAAGCCTTCCTCGTGCTTTAGTCACACTGCAACATGTTCCTTTCAGTTCAGCGCTTTGTCACTTCAGAGAAAGCCTGTAGCTGGCCAAGAGATGTGTGTTAAGTACATCTGCAACAAAACTCCTGGGTCCACATGGCACAGTGAACTCATTCAGGTTGTATGAGATATTTGTTGTATTTCTATATAAATAGCTGCAGGATGCAGTTCCTCAGCTTTGGGATTTTGGGTTTGCTATCCTTTGGCTTTGATGCCTTCTTCTCTAGATGCCTGTGTCTCTTTCATCATCCTGATGTCTCATTGTGATCAACTTACTGGACCCGACTCTTAGAGCTGCATTAATCTCTAGGGTGGCTATGATGGTTCAGCACAAGCTGGATGGTTTGAATGGTATAAGTGGACTCTCTTCAGTTCCGGAGAACTGAGGCATCTGGAGGGGAGGTGTTGCCAGGGCCGGGCTTCCCTGTGGACTGTGATGCAGTATCAATTCTAGCTTCTTCAGTTTCAGGTGCCTCTGTGTACTTCTTAGCTCACAGCAGTGTGAGTCCAGGCTCAGGGTCGATGCACCTTGTAGCTCTATTTCTCCTTTTCTATGTCTCTGGTCATAAGTGTCAGTAGATTTAGGACCCAACTGGATAATCCAGGATGACTTTATTTCAAGATCCCTAGCTTAATTACACCTACAAAGACACCCCTCAACCCATCCACATGCATAGGTTACAAAAGAATGTGTCTTTTGTGGTAACCACAGCTTTTATTGCTGACCTCTGATGCCAGCCTCTCCTCTAATTTCTTCAAAGCATTTGTCCTTATTGGATGCTTCATATTCTTCTGTCTGCTTTGCTTGCCTGCCTCCATATACTTGAACTCAGACTTCAAGTGAAGAACTTTATTGCTCACTCCTTTTGTTTGTTTGTTTGTTTGTTTTTGGCCAGGATATAAAAAAATGCTGAGATGATTGGAGGAGTTGTCAAAGATTTATTGAGGAAAAGGATGCATATGTAATGGCATTATATCATTTTGAGTCTTCAACGCTTTCAACAATTTTTAGGACTTTATTATATTTTTGTTGTTATTTTATATTATTTGAATTTCATTTACATATTTTAAAGAAAAAACAAGTGTATTATAACATATCAACTCTGTAGAGTGGGTAAAAATATACAGCCTTTTTGATACAATTCCAAATTGCTAAATGGTCTTGTTACCTTTGTTTTTCCCCAGGTGAGACCACTCATTAGAATCTCTCTTTTTGCCTTAGGCTCTGATCACCTCCGAGAGAAAGATGGCCTCTGGGCTGTCTTGGTCTGGCTGTCCATTATTGCTGCCCGGAAGCAGAGTGTGGAGGAAATTGTTAGAGATCATTGGGCCAAATATGGCCGCCACTACTACTGCAGGTGAGGATGGGCAGGGTCTCTCTGCATGTGTCTTAAGAATTACTCTTAGAGATGTTTCCTAAAACTGATGGTTTAGAATTGAAGAAGAAAGCATCTTTTAGAAACATCTGAGACTGGAAGTCTGGGGTTGGCTGTTAGGGAGTAGTGTCAGGGGTTACTAAAGTGAAAGGACAGATTTTACTTGCCCTTGTGGCTTTCCTCCCTAATCTTTTCATTGAAACTATAAAGCAAATGGGTGGTCATGCCAAGAGGGCATCAAAATGCAGATCCTTGGTTGCTGTGGGTCTTGTAGTCAAAGCAGACACATTTCTTGTTTGTTCTATGTGGCTCTCTTAAAGGAGTGGGCAGACACAAAAACCTACACTTTGGTGTTTTTGAAGTCTTCTCCCACCCTGGGTTTAATGTCCACACTAATGGTAAGAAGGCTTCTGATGCGGCTGAGCCAGGATAATTTGCATGGCCCACATGGCTCAGCAACCCCAGAGTTTTACTAGAGGCTTACCCTGATTTAAAAAAAAAAAAAATAGAGACACAGAGAAGGGAAATATTATCTCTGCAGGAGGCAGAGGAGAGTGGTGGGCCAGAACTCAGGGTAGATGGTCTATCCCTTTCTTGTTGTTGAAGTAAGAAAGAACATTCCAAGGTTATGCCACCTAGGTGTGTCCCAAGCCATGCTTCAGGGAAAGAGTAGTAGAAAAATGGTTGACTCTGGGCAATTGTGTGTGGAAAGGGGACTTCTGGGATCCTCAGTGTTAGAGACAGAGGTTGTGACTCATTCAGTTCTTCTTATGAGTGGTTATCAGACTTGGGTGTTCAGTTGGGTTTCAAGAGCTTGAGGGGCAAAGGGCTTTTGACTTTTCCCTTATGTGGTGATGTTTCTTCTTTTAAAAAGCATCTACTTAGATAAATATCAGAGAATAAGGAGGACCTCAAGGGTGCTTATTAAACTCTAAGGGACTGCAGTGTTCTGGAAAATAGAGACAATAGCCATAATAGCTTTGATTCCTGGTTAGTTAAGAAGACTTGGAATGTGAAAATAAATAAACCAGCATATTATACATTGAGCCATAAAAAAAATTCTCAAGGCCAGTGGGATCTTGGATTTTTTTTTCAATATCTCTAACATGGGTCACACACCCCTGGTTCTTGGAAAGTTTGATTTATTTATTTGCTTAATTTACATCCAAAGATTAATTGGCACATGAATTTCCTCTGTTGTATGAAGATCTTATAAAGATTCCAACCTGACAAAAATATTTTGTGCTTGCTAGCTAGCTGGGCGATTACTCTGAGTCAGAGATATGTGCCTTATAATTTGTGGAATGACTGTTTAGGTTCCTGCCAGTGTTTTGAAGAAATGGTGTGATGATAAGTGTATTTATAACATACTTCATGTTTTGTGGCCAAGAGCTTGTAATGTTAATTGCTTCTTTCATAACAATACCATATTAGAGAATACTATGCAGTGGAGATTTAATTTCGTGCAGGACATTCAACTGTATTACAAATTTCTATCCAGAAAATTCACAGAGATTAAGAAGAAGGGAATAGAGCATAGGTACAGTGAAGGACAGAACCCCCCCCCCTCCAATCCCAGCAAATAGCAAGCCAAGGGGGAGGGATTTTTGAAATAAGTGATCTCTAGCTGACAGTTCTCTTGGCAGGGAGGAAATAATAAAACAATTTCAGTGTCACTAATCGTGAGGCTAAGGTTGCAGCTGGGCACAGTCTCCTCATTTTCTTTGTCTGGGTGAATTCCAGAAGCAATTCTCCACTCAGAGGTTACATCCCTTGAAAATGTGGTGCTGGCGGTGGCAGCTGGAGGGACCATCAGGCTATAGGGGAAGAGAGGAGAAGAGAGGGTTGGGCAGGCTATGGGAAGAGAGGGTTGGGCGCTTGTGTGAGAGGATGAACCACCAGGTCTGGTGCTTGGACATGATCTCAGCTTTATACAGCATGGTCTTTAGTAAACAAACGTTCTCAAGTTTTGAATTTTTTCCTCCAACGTTCTCCTGCCTTGTCCATCTTCCTGCCCCTTTCTGCTCATCTTGGTCTTACCATTATTTATTCATAGAATTTTTCTATTTACTTATCGATTGGTAGACTCTTACTTTGGTGCTAGGCCTTGAACTTACTTTACTTCTCTTGCCTGAGTCTCCTGAGTGCTGGGATTACAAATAAGTGCCTCCATGTCTGGCTCTTAGAAGGATCTCCTCCCCACACCCCACCCAGAGTGTCTATCTCTAATAAAAATCCCATGTCTGAACCCATTTCCCAACAGTGTCCTCAGGACTTTCCTGTTACTTTGTTTGTGAAGCCGAGGAAGGAGTACCCTGGCGTAGGAGGAAGAAAATATGTGCTAGACGTGGTGTCATTCCACGGCCCCCATTTCAGCAAGTGCCCTGATATTTGCGGACCGTCTTTAAATGTCTCCAGTTGATAAAAAGTAGGAGCAACGGTCCAGGGCTTCCATCTTGCAGCTCGCCCAGAGCCTTCTCTAGTTCTCTGTCCAGGTGTGAAGCCCTCCTGAAGCCACTAGGCCCAGAGCTCCCCCTCCTCTCCCTTTGTAAATAACCATCCTCTCCATGCTGTGCCAGCCAGATTTGGAGATGATTATCTGATGTTTGGAGAGACAATTTCTTTATGGTAGTGACTAAGGAAAAAAAAAAAAGAAAGAAAGAAAGAAAAAAGAAAAGAAAAGAAACAAACAAACCAATGAACAGATTTGTGTTTTAAAAGCTCTGATTCCTGGCATTGTGCCAACTGTGGTATGCATCATCATATTTTAAACTCCAAAACAAACAGGGCAGGGAGAATTTTTAGTCTTTTCTCTTTCCCTTTTGATCACCCCCTTCCCCCCAGCCCTGCTATTACATTTGATGCTTGTGCATAGGAAGACTTTTTGAATGGAACAATTGTGACATCTCTTTCAAGTTCTCCAGGGATTTTTATAGTATGCTTAATTTCCTTTCTTCCTTTCTCTTTGCTCTTGCCTCCCCACCCCCCAAATTGCTTCCTCATCCCAGACTAATTGCATAGAATCCACTGTGCTCCAGAAACAGCAGAGAATAGGAGAACTAAAGTCTATGCCCTTTTGGACTCACATTCTGAAGGGCAAGGGCAGATTCGAAGTAAGCAAATACAAAACAAGCAGGGGGGGATCCATAGGCCAATGCAAAAGAAAATGTAGAGGGTGTGGCAGGCAAGGGGAGAAAGGAAAGCTACTTAGATGGATGGATGCTCAAGAATCACTTTCAGGAGACCTGAAGACTGGAAGGAAAGGACAAGCCAGTGCTTTGAGTGTGCCAGGCACAAGAAATCTAAGAATGTACAAGATGGAGGGGACAAACACCAAGAAAAGAGTGGCAGGAATGGTTGAGGTATCACCAGGGACTGAAGTGGAGGCCATGGTGGCTCCTGCAAAGAGGGACAAAGTCAGTTCTGATCAAGCTAAGTAGGGCAGGGTTGGTTTCCATAGTACTTGATAGTCTGTGCTTGGGGTTTTGTTCTCAACATGACAGGAGTTTGGGGAGGGGCTTATAAGAAAGGAACAACATAATTTGAGTTTATAAGGCCCCCATGTGGAGACTGCTTTGTAGAGGCCATGAGGAGAACCCGAGGCTTCTCTTTATCTCCTTTCCCGGAAGCAGGACCATGAGGGGTCCTTCCAACGGCCAGTTCTCTGATTGGGTTTTGTTTTTCTCGTGTCCTGCCTTCCCCCAACAGGTTTGACTATGAGGGACTGGAGCCCAAGGCAACATACTACATCATGAGGGACCTGGAGGCCCTGGTTACAGACAAGTCCTTCATTGGCCAGCAGTTTGCGGTGGGGAGCCACATTTACAGCGTTGCAAAGACAGACAGCTTTGAATATGTGGACCCTGTGGATGGCACTGTAACCAAGAAACAGGTACTGTCGGGGGAATCACAGAAATAGTTGTATTAGGCAAAGTGGGTGGACAAAGTATGTAGGGCTAGAGAAATCTTTAGGGGTCGTCTTCTGTGTGCTCTTCACTTTGAACAGCAGAGTTCTCCATCTACGAAGAGGAAGCCCTCAATGACATTACCTCATCACTGGTGGAGAGTGGACCTCTCCTCCAGTGAGGACCTGGGCCTCTGGGTCTCATATTGCTTATACCGGCTAACTGATGGATGAAGACCTCAAATAGGAATAGGCCCCGTATTTCCTTCTTTAATGGTAGCAGCCTACAAGTGCTTTTATGTGGTGGCTATTTGTGGTGATAAATTCAGAGAAGTTCCTGGAGCTAACTATCCCTGTGGTTGGGATCTCCCAGTGTATGGTCCTTCATCTTCTGTTACCTTATGTCGTCAAGGAACCACAAGGGCTTAGATGAGTTCAGCGTCTTGGGAGGGAAAGAATAGTTGGAAAGTTTGCCCAGAAATCCCAAGTGGAGATTTCATGGGTGAATGTTAATCTCAGGCAAATAGCAAAGCCAACCACAGCTGCAATTATGCTCTTGTTTTTTGAGAATTGTGTGAGAAAAGTTGATGTCTCTATAATGATTTTTTCCCCTCTCAGTCTTATGTATTTATTGGTTATGGCAAGTACTGACCCCTCTGGGAACACATCACAGACATTAACATTTACAGTGTATGTAATACAACCTGAGTAATGTTAAGAGCAGTTCAGTCCATAAATCCCCAAGTTCTTATCTTTTTATATATCCTTCTAAGTGAAGACAGTAACAGAAGGCAGGCGCTGCAGGTGTTTGGGACTAGATATGTACTGCTACCCTAATTTAAGTAGCATGTCCCCTGTCATCTTTGCTTTGAAAGCCCCAGCACTGTGGGTACTACAAATCCCAGTGCATTCTTTTTTGTTCTCTTGGTACTGCCTCCAGTTGGCTTAGTTTTATAGTTATTTTTAAAATCTCCATCAATATATCAGTGCTTTGGCTTAGCAGTTAAGAACGTTTGCTATTACAGAGGGCCAGGTTCAGTTACCAGCACCCATGTGGCTGCTCACAACCATCCAAAACTCTAGTTTCAGTGCCTATGATGCCCTCTTCCGGTTTCTATGGGCACCAGACATACACGTGATGAACAGGCTTACATTTAGCCAAAACGCTCATCGATGCTCGATGCATTAAAAATGAAAACAAGCACCAGGCGATGGTGGCACACACCTTTAATCCTAGCACTTTGGAGAGAGAGGCAGGTGGATCTCCCTGAGTTTGAGGCCAGCCTGATCTACAGAGTGAGTTCCAGGAGAACTGGGGCTACACAGAGAAACCCTGTCGCTAAAGAAAGAAAGAAAGAAAGAAAACAAGCAGCCCTTCATTGTAGAAGCCCTTGAAGTCAGCTGAGAAAGACACAAGTAGTAAAGGAAAAGCCAGGATCTGAAAGACAGAATGGAATCATGTCACCTGCTGTGTGGACTTCTGGGAAATTCCTTGATTTCTTAGGTCCATACTTTCTTCTCCATCCATGCACACAACTTTTCAGAAATGGAATGAAATAAGATAGAAAAAAGTGTAAGCTTTCCTTTCTAAGACAGACAAAAGCCCGATTTTCCTTTGCTAGGGAGCAACCCACAAACTTCTGTGGCCCCTCATTTCACCAAGGATAGTTCTTGCTTGCTCTGAAATAACAGCAGTGATTCAGCCATCAGCAGCAATGGAAAACAGGTGCTCACATGACATCATTGAGTCCCTATGTCCTGAATACGTATTTTTCCAGTTTTGTTTCACTTTCTCTCCAGACCAGCCTGCCCCATGCCCAAGGCCCACTTTGCTTTTGTTGCTATAAGATTTGAGAGACTTGAAATACATATACTTTCTAAAGTATGTTTCTAGGTCTACAGCTCTAACTACCCGAGTTTCCCCCATCTTGTCTAAAGTATCCCTGTGAGGTTTCTAATCTCTGGAGAAAGATTGGGACCCTGTTTTGGGGTTACTGGTCTAGATACAACTAGATTAATGATGTTATCTAGCCATGGGAAGCCTAGCTGTTGAGCTAATTTATTTGTTGTTTGGTCCAACATTTCTCTAACTTAACTTCTTTCCTGGAGCATTAAGTATTCAGAAGGGATCATTTTTGATGCTCTTTAATCAGTTACATCAGGCCACTTCTTCAGCTGGATGCGTTTATTCCATTCCTCTTCCCTCCTAAGCACAGATGCTAGTTTTCATTTGAACTTTGGATATATTAATGTTTTCCTTTCTACACTGTTCCACCTGAGCTCAAATGTACTTATAAATGGATCAGTGTTGCCAGGACCTGCTCTTGGGAATTTCCTTGTAAAGAAGAAAAAAGACTGTTGTAACATGGAAAGTAATTGACCCAGGGACTGATACTGGGGTTCAAACTTCAAGCTGAAGTTCAGAAAAGCAAAGCAGCTGGCCACTAGCTTCTTACTTCTCCCTCAGGCTGAATGGGCTGATCCTGTCTCCATGAGCCCTCACCTCCATGAGCCTCAGACTGTAACCTCTCCTAAGTGTGGCTGGAGAATGAATGCCTCCTACTCAATCCTGATACCGACTTATATACCTCTCATGTGTCCTGGGATTAAAGGTGTGAGCTATAATTCTATTTTAGACTGATTCAATCTTGTGTAAGTCTGGGTGGCCTTGGGCTCACAGAGATGTGTGTACCTCTTAATCCTGAGTCCTAGGATTAAAAGTGTGTACTACCACCTCCTGGCTTCTGGCTGCTGAGATTAAAGGTGTGTATCATCAGTGCCTGATCTCTATAGTTTGAGGATGACTTTGCTTTTCTGAATTCTCAGTCAAGCTTGAATAAATCCTAACTGTCACTACAGACTGTCTTTTTCTCTCCTATCAGGGCCCTGTGAGTGTCAGCTTCATGGAATGGTGGCTCTGATCCCCACTGCAGCTCTTCTGCAGGCTTGGTTTGGTTTAGTGAGGGTGATGAGGGACCAGGTAATGAGCTCATGCTCTGCCACAAATCAAAAGTGGCTCTTTTGACACAGTTTGTTTTGTTGGGTTCTGTGTAGAGGGACTCAGCACAGTAGGGCTGTGCAGTCTTTGGGGTTATCAGCAGACACCAATGTTCAGCTCAAGGATAGTTGAGTCTAAGGCACACTTCAGGCAATATCATGCAAAATCAGCACACTTTCTGAGTGACAGACACTTAAAAGACACACTTGAGTTTAAATGAGCTGGTATGACTTCTAAAATACTCATGAAGAGCTTGGGCACACTCACTAAGTTAATAATTACTGAGAGTCTACAAAACACATGCTTTTGTGTTTTGTGCATTTATTCATTGTGCAGCTTTCTAAACAAATACATGTAGTGACTTTATAGTCATATAATCTACACATTATACAATTCACTCATTTAAAGTGCAGATTTCAGTGATTTTTTACATTGACAAAGTGATGCAGTCACCACCTCATTAAAGTTTAAAACATTTCATCACTCTGCAATGTGACCTTGCTCATTCTAGCTGCCCTCTCCCTTCCAACACCCCTCCAGCCTCCAGGTCCTGGCAATCAATGGCGTGCTTCTGTATCTTCGGATTTGTCTCTTTTGGGCATTGCCTCTGAATGGAATCGCATGTCGGCTTTGTGACTTGACTGTCTATTCTCACTTTGTGTACTATTTCCCTGGCCTTCCATACACAGAATACAAACACCTCATTCCTTTTTAAAACTGAATTGCACTCTATTGTATGGATGCTACATTTTGTTTCCCATGTGTCCATCGATAGGTTTCCACTTATTAGTGCAGTTTCCATTTTTGACTATTATAATGAATCTGGTGTGAGTGTTCACATGCAGTTGTACAGACAGAGGTTGCAGCACCCTTGATATACAACTGGATTGAAGTTGTTCAGCTAAACCTTAAAGGAGCTGCCATCCAGTCCACAAACTCACTTCTACCACCTTATATTGTGCCAGCAGTATGTGAGGGTCCAGCTTCCCATACCTTTGCTAAAATTTGTGACTACATCTTTTCGATTTTCAAACGCTGTTGTTTTAAAACAACATACTATACTGCGGATTCTTTTAAAATTAAGATAGAAGCAGAGCCAAGCATAGTCTTTCTCTCTGTCTCTCATGTACACACACACACACACACACACACACACACACACATACACACACACTCAATCCCCCCAACACTCAGGAAGCTGAGGGTCATGATCCTGAGATCAAGCAAGCTAAGGCCATGCCAAAAAAAAAAAAAAAAAAAAAAAAAAAAAAAAAAAAAAAAAAAAGAAAGAAAGAAAGAAAGAAATTTTATCACCATAGGGAATAACAGCAGTATCCAAAGCACAAAGACAACCCGGCCACTGTGCATGTGTATAGAAGGCAGCTCACCATCCTCTTCACATCTTCTTCCTCCTCAGTACTATGTTGTCCTCTCTGGCATCCTAATCCTCTATTGTTTGAAATCAGGCAGACACAGATATAATGGCTGTCTTTGACACAATGCAAATCTTTGCTTTTGGGTTCAAGCTCAGCTTGAGAGGCAGTGGTGATGGTACTCAGCATTTGTGGTAAGAGAGGATATTTGAGGGGATAATTCTCCAAATCTCTGGTGCAGGGGCTGCTGGCTAATCTACACTCAAGAAATGTTAGTTCTTTCTCTCTATCCTCAATTCTTAATGTGACTATCAGAGTGAGCAAAGGATACATTATTTCCCCTTCCTTCTGTCTTTTCTTCCCTATTATGTCCAGAGGTGTGTGCACCTACACACACACACACACACCCACACACACACACACACACACACACACGCATATACATGAACAAGTATGTGGTTTGAAAATAATATATGGCATGTACTAGCACTAGAAAGCATTGTGCAGTCTGTGTTCTATCCTAGCCTTAGATATTTTGCAGTGAAGTTTGAGGCCCAGTTGAGTGATCCCAGGGTAGTAGGTGTTTGTAGTTACCTCTCATTTGGTCTAAGTTCAAC